CACCCTGGAAGAATAATGCTCTGTCATCAGATGGGAGCTGGAGGGCATAAATACCAGAAGAAATTGAGACCTAAAGTAAAGGTTGACTCCTGCTTAGATGACTTGAGATGCCAGGAGGCATTTTCAAAAATGGGAGCAGAGGACAGAGCCATACACAAAATTGCCCGGTCCCCATTTTCTGAGTAGCAGAAGAGCAGGGAGACTAAAGATAACCTATAACTCAGGTTCCAAACAGGGTGCCTAAACAAGAGATTTGCATTCAGAAGCACAGAGCACCCATAATTCTAGTTGAAGTTAACGGGGAGATGTTGACATTTGGCATCTCTCACAATCAGGATGAGATGTCTCTTTTTGGGCACCCGCATTTAAAAACTTGGTGCAAAGGAGCAACATAGCCCATATTGCAATGTTTGTGTCAGCTGTGATGTTTTGTCTCATTGCTTATTGGTATGGCAAAGACAGCAGAGAAATAAATATGTGTCGACGATCAAGATGTAAATATTTCATTTGAAAGTCTCCACATAATCCATTAAGCAGAGGGAGATTTGCCCAAGGGACGCCCATAACGATTTGCTGCATCAATCATATCTGGACTGGGAGGGGACTGCAGGACAGACACACCAAAGGTCAGAAAATAAACTGTTTTCCAGCTACTGAATGGGACATGGATGTAGAATCTGGGGTTTCTGCAAATGACGTTGTCTTGATATTTTTGTCATCTGTGCTCAAGCAACAGGACTTGTGCATCTTACATGAATAAAGCCAGACCACAAAATGATACCCAGAGTCTGTTAAACTAATTTCAGGAAACCGACCCCCTGCAAAGTGCCAAAATTACTTGGCAAACCTCATAAATGCTGGCAGGACTTTTCTCTTAACATGACTAGCACACAGGACAGTCATGTTGCGCAATCAGTGATAGAGGATAAAAATATATTTGCACAAAGATGCTCTGTGCTTTGTCACAATTCGGCCCAGATTTGTAATCTAAGCGTATAATCAATAGTCAAGTGACAAGCTCTGGCTGAAGTGAGCATACCACAGTGTGGGGATTTGCACAAAGATGGGGTTTTTTTTAGCCCTTCAATCCTAAGTCCTGTGTGTTGGGTTCATCTACTAGCCTACCTTAGCACAACCTGATAGTTGCTTTCAATTACACCAGCTTCCAGTTGGTATAAGGGGCAGTAATAGCAGTCTGTAAGAGCCAGGAGCATAAGGAAAATATGGCCAAGTCCCCTTTCAACTGACCGAATCCGATCCAGTGCCATAGAACTATTGTAAGTTTCTTCCAGCACTGGGATGCTAGAAATAAGGGCTTGTGTATACTATGGGGGCAGGGAAAGTTCCATTGAATTTATGCAACTTCAGTTATGGGAATAGCAGAGCTGAAGTTGACATACTTAGATCTACTTATCATGGTGTCTTCGCAGCAGACTGTCAATGGGAGATGCTCTCCCGATGACTTCCCTTGTGCTTCTTGTTGAGGTGTAGTAACAGAGTTGATAGGAGAGCGATCACCAGTCAATTTATCACATCTATACTAGACATGATAATCCATCCCTGCTGGAGCAATTGCTGCCCAGTCGATCCGGTCTGTAGTGCAGACCTGCCCTAAGGGCTTTAAGGGGTGCGGTTGCACCCCCAGACATGAAGTGGCTTTCATCACATAAAGAGTTTACAGTTTGGTTCAGTGGCTCTCAGCGCCTCTGGAATTTACACCAGCTTCAATATTGCAAACTGCCAGAAATGAAGTGAAAAGCAGAGGCACCACACATAGAATTATAGTCAAGATTTCTTACCTGTTTCTTGACTCACATATGATCCATTTACTTGATTATCAAAAAATGGGAGCTAACTTGCCATGTAATCATTTACATCTACACCATAGGGTTTGTCAGATATTTAGCTGTTTAGCCTGGGGAGAGGGTACATAAAGGAATTGCTATTTTAAGGTACTGTGCTACTTCCTTCTTGAATGTCACTTCAGAGAAGATAAGCCTCCAGTTTTCTGTATTTGTACAACTGGGGTCAATTTCTACCCTCAATTACACATATTTTCTCAGGAAAATCTGTGGAACTAAATGTGTAAACGATATATTCATCCCTCTGTCATTTAAAGGTATTTTAACCTTCAATTTGAGCCCTTTTAAAATCTAAATCTCTTTTAGCTTGTTACCATGCAGCCTCACAATTCTCTAACAGCCAGCATATTAAAAGGGAGCTTTATACTCATTTTTTCTTGGCTCCAATCTGTCAAGATGCCACTATCCACAACAACTTCCAAAATTAAACAAACAACCCTTTTAAAAACATAGTCTTGAATAAATATGAAATGAAAATGTACTACAAACTTAAAGAGATATAGTTTAATTCATTTGAAAATACCACAGTGATCAGTTAACTTCCACCTCAAGTCCAACTAACAGTGACATAAATGGCATTACATTGTTTCTGAGAAAGGAGAAATCAATATTTTTAAAAGGGTTGTTCTTATTAAAAAGGAACCACATATTTATGGTATCTCTCGGGGCTAGAAGGAGACAATGATCTACAGCAGCATGACTGTGAATGCTTTACTTTTTCCTGAAAGCTCTCTGATGAGAATGGTGTTTCCCCACCTCCACTTTGCTGGCAAATGCTGATGTAAACAGCATACGTACAAAGCATGGGGGTTTTCACGTGAATCCTGCGTTTTTTCCACAAACCCTTTTACACTGTATTTTGCTTAAAATATATCTTCTCATTTCTGGTTAACCCACATCCCTTCAAGTGTTAATGAGCTTTTTTCACAGGAGACTGAACCATTTCACAAAAGTGAGACAAAGCCAGTTTTTAGGAAAGCAAAGAGTTTGTTGGACTGGGGCATGAAGCTCCTACAAAAGATCTCAGACATTTGTAGCAATATTAGAATGAGATTACAATATTGACAAATTGCAATGGGGCTCATTTAAAACACAGATCAATCTTGCTTATCAATCTTGCTAGGAGTAAAACATTTAAGATATTATACCGCTGAAATCCTACAGGAAGGAAGTAGACTTCTGAAGCTATAAACAAAGTTTAACAGAAGTAGGAAGTAATTCAAAAGCTCTTATACTAGTGCTGGTGTAAAAATATTTAACCAGAGAAAATGTGCATGTTTTCCCCACTTTATTTATGTATTGGTTATTTGGAACAATAGCAGGTTGTCACACAAATCAAATACAGTATTTAAAAATCAATTTACAATGTAATTCACAATGCCACCGAGATAGTCATTACTCGTTTTTCAAAAATAGATCTTTCTGGATTTTTGTCTGTATTAAATAAATTTTCACCTTTATTACACTATAAATAGGGTATTTAATATTAGGTCAGAATCTGTGGAAAGTCCTACTGGATGTCACATGCAGCTTCTTATTGGATGCTGTTCTTTTTCTTTTCTTTCCTTGTTTTTTCTTCGACAGCTGCTAACTTTACACTGGGGAGAATAATTAAAAGTTCCTTCAGAAGACTACCTCCCTGTACCTCTGACTTTGTATAGTAGAGAAGATGCAATACAAAGACTTGCATAGTTTCCCCGTCTTAAAAGGCTTACTAGATCTCTTTTCAGACTCCTCTCTTGCTTTGGGTTACTGTGTGTAATGGCATAAGCTATTGCTACACCAGCAGGACAATTCCCATTATTTAATTTATTCATCTCCCTTTGGTCCTATCCCAACTCCTCTTCTCTCTAACACATGCACACACATCCCAGTGCCTCACTCTCTAGGCCCAATTCTGCAAAGCACTAAGAATCTGTCATGCATTCAAGTGCTTTGCTGAGTAGTAATGGATTTAAACACATGCTCAAACTAAGAGTTCCTATGCTTTGCCTAATCGGGGTAGTAATGTAACAGCAATATAGGTTGTCTGCAATGAGTCTGTGAAATCCTGGCCATCATTATCAAAGGATTAAAAAATCAGTGTAAGTTTGAAAACTTCTTCACTCCATGGCTAGAAGGGGTAAAACCTGGAATACATTTTGAGAAGCTGCCTTATTATATACTTGCAATTCCCTGCTTTCCTGGAAGGTATCACATTCCAAAACAACAAGTAGTTCAATACAATCAGGTTTCAGACTAACATAACAGTAAACTATCCTAAAATATCTACAAGCAAAAAATAAATGTAATTTGTAACCCCCAAACTTTCAGTGTTTCTGTAGCCTTTATTCTAAAACATGTAAGCTTATGAAGCTGTGGTCTTTATACTCTTGAGGGAACAATCTGAAACTCCCTTCACGTGCCGGAAGGATTAAAACTGATCACTTAACAGTCCGTTCCATTCTTTGCTCCTGCAAGGCATCATCTGATTCCCACTGAAGATCAATGGGACTTTCACTATTGATTTCCATGGGAGCAGGGTCAAGGGCCAATATCACTAACTTTCAACCTCTTATTTTCTCCTAGGGAATTTAGTAATATAATCCTGAAAAATAGCATATTACAAGTCACACTTGATGAACTGAACAAAATGTGTAGTGGTACTGAAAACATTCATCATCATCATCACTATGCCTTCATTTTAAGAATCCAGATTTCACATAAGCCATAGAAGACATCAAGATCCAAATTCTGAAATCCATGGGAGGCCCAGGCATCCAATAGCAGAATCTGGCCCTCAGTTATTTGTATTCCTTACAATGACTACAATTCAGCAAGGAAAAAACGTGTATTTTTCAATGTTTTGTTAAGTGAATCAACATACTGAATATTTTCATATTTCAAACTCCCTTTGTTGTGGTCTGTTCCTGCAACCTTTACATAAACAAACCTCACACTTACTTAACTGGCTCTCTTGCTCGCCTGAGATGTTAATGCAGGAGCAGATCTCTAAGAACTAACCTACCTCAGAAAACAACCCATCTGGTCTACCAAATTGACCAGGTGGAGTCCATAGCTTGATTCTGAGGTGAGAGTTGATATACTTAGCAAGGAAAGCAATGACTATTAGGAAAAGTTAAAACCACATCAAATACTGTATAACAATTCATTTCTGCAATCCTGCACACAGAAGTCTAGTTGATATCAACTGAAGCTAGGCATGCTTCATTGGACTAAAATAAACATAGATGTGTGCAAATTGAAAAAAAGGGTTGGAGGCTGACTAAAGCAGAACTTTTAATGTCTCTGGGACAGAGTATTCTCCTAACAATATATAAATCAGAGAATACATTTCAAGAAATAAAGAACATCAAAACCTAATGAATTTATAAACTGGCTTTATGGGGAGGGGAGAAGAAAAAAAAAGAGGGATATTATATCCCAAAATAGTATGCATCTTTAAGATGTATAAATTTAGGTGCCCTAGAATGCGAGTCTGCTGTCAGACCATATACGATTTTGTACTAGCTAGAAATTCAAGCAAAGAGTATTTCTAACTGTGGAGAGGATTTTTCTGGCATGAGAAATATAAATTCACAGATTTTTAAGGCCAGAACAGACCATTATGATCATCTAGTCTGGCCTGCTGCATAACTGGCTTTAGAATTTCACTTGTACATGCACATACATTTGAATATGACAGATCTCTCTCTCTCTCTTTGCCATACAAAAGAGTTTCATGTTCATTTGCATATGCAAGCAAATAATCAACAACCCAGCATTAAGAGTTGTAAATCTCCTGAAATTACACTTTTTTAAACTTTTTAAAACAAAAGCTAGGATAAATATTCCCAACCCTACTAATACTGTGAGCCAAAGTCTGCTCTTCTTCGGACACCTGTTGCCCACTGACGTCTGTACACAAGAAAGAGTGCACATCCAAGAGCAGAATTTGACCTTTTGTAAGACAACAACTTTTTTTGTGAATATTTACCATATCTGTACAAATGTACTTTGGAAATCTATTACATGTTACATACATGTGCCACTGAGAATGCCCATCCAAAATAATCACTTATGAAAGAATAATTATCAAAGGTTACAAAGCTTTGTTTCCTCAAAAACCTGTTTTATTCTAGGCTCTAGCATTCGAGTCAATGGTCCCACCTGCAACACAGACAGCAAAAACTCCCCGTTCTAGAGATTGTTAGCAAAAAACATCAGTTGATTGCTGACTCTGTAATGTTAAATGGTCACGCTTCAAAATATACTACCCCAAATACACCATTCTAGACAACTCTTCTAAGTGCTATTATGGGTATCAATCCACAAACAGCAATGATCGCAACAAAATGTCCTGTGAAGAGAAATGTCAGGCATTAAAAATATATATCTCATTAGAATTGGATTTTTTTAAAAAAATTAACACTGAAACTTTCATAGAAGAATATAGGCATAAAAAGTTTACCACACTTAATCTAAATTCTTAACCATTTACATATGTAGCTATTCACAACATAATATTTATGGATTCCTAGGCCACTTGTGTGCTATCTTTCCCACAGTAGCTACAGCTTTGTGCTGGGAATACTGCTAATATACTTCTCCGCCCTGAGATTTGTAATCACAAATAAATAGCTCTGCAAATTTAACATTGTAAACTTTGAATTTAAGTCTTCAGTAAGAAGTCATCCTCAAACCATGGAGAATGTTTAAACAATGTAAACATATCAAACATTTTGTCAGTTTTCACAGTTATCCCCAGTAACCGCAGAATCTATGTGAGATGTACCGTCCAAATCCTGAAGACCCATTGTTTCTATTGTACAATATTCTTGTCTAGTTCATTTTCCAATCTCTCAGACTTTATTTTCCTGGATAAATCCAGTTGTGATTTGCATCCCCAAAATGTAATCCAGTTCTGTTCTTCCAATATGTATCATCTTTACATAGCTTTAAACACGCTCCTTCTGAGGAGATTATTCTTGGATGGAGGAATGGCGAATAGCTCTGTGGTAGTCCTCTGGACTAGTGACATGTTCTGGTAAGTCATAGCCTCTCAGAAAATGTCCACTGTTTTGTTGAGCAAAGTAGTACAGCTGCCTTGCAAACACTGGCTCAACCTTAACAACAGATAAAAATGTTATTGAAGTGTGACAGCATACTCAATGTTAGCAACTTACTCAACAATAAAACGATGTTTTAAAACAAGACAAAATAAAACAGTTCTGCATACCAAAATGGAAGGAAAATGCATTCTATTTTCATTGGACTCTGTCTTTACTTCATCTCCAGATTTGTAGAGCTGGCTGCAGTTTTTGCCAGCAAAAACCACTGCATAAAGCAGTTTGCAACTATACCCTGTCAGCTAATCCATATTTACATGTAATGTCTGATTGGTGTGTGACCACATTTCCATGGCTAAATTAGGCATGGCAAAATGCAGGCATTCAGCTTCACATGCTTCACTTTCAAAAATCTGTCCCTTATTCTGTGTCCAAAAAGTCTGAAACTTGAAATGATTAGAGTTATTTCTCAAAAATAATGCTTCTCAGTTTAAATATGACGGTATGTCCATTCACCCCTAACTGTACTTGTTCAGCACTTTGCTGGTCTAATATGGCCAAGATTTTGTGAAATGTTTGAGAGGCTCTACTTATTTTGTGTGTCTCACTGGCACTAAGGGCTCCCATCTTTGCACAGGGGCTTTAGTTAAATATTTAACCTTGACTCCTAAGATCTAAAAAACTTGAGACTTTTAAATGGAGAACAAAGATGCTCTCAAAAGGGTTTTTTTTATGGGCCAGGCCCTCCTCCCAATTTGAGATCCTTAGACATGTCTGCACATGGACATCATTGTACAGAGGAAAGATGTGTGTGGGTGGCAGGGGGGAGAACATGTTCTCCCAGCTTTCAGCTGCCATCTGCAATGGAGGAAGGGATGGGAGCCTGAGATTGCTCAATGGAGCCTGCTCAGCTCCTGCCCTCCCCAACTAATGTACCACCCATTCCAAGTGCAGAACTCAGGACCCAAGGCAGGGGCTCAGACAACTCCAGAGAAGAATTGAGCTTCCAGTCCCCTGCCCAGCAGCATAACAAAGGTTCAGGTCTGGGGCATGGCCCTGGAGGAGAGACAAACTCATTGAGAGGTGTAAGGAAACAGTGGGCACTGGCTTTGTCTGTGTATGTGGGGGGGAGGGGGAGAGAAGAGGAGGATGTACTGGTGAGGGCCTCAGGAGATAATGAGGAGGCTTGAGGTACAGTGATATCCCTGATCTTTGCTAGAATAATTACTGTATTCCTGACCTGATAATCCCCAGAAATCTAAAAACCCAGGACTGATGCCTGTATGTGGAGGAGGGGGCTGGATTTCTGTTAAATCTCTGAACAGAAGAAAAATCTAACCAGACCTTGGGAACATTATTCAGACAGAGGATGACTGGGTAGGACAGCAACCTGAACTTGAAAGTTGCAACCCTCCACCCAGGGGAACCACATGCCAATGTGTTGCAGGCAGATAGTGGTAAGGAAGTCACAATTAGCTAAGGGAAGTTAATTATTTTATTTAAAAAAAAAACTCTTGGGAGTCTATCATCTTAGCATCCGGGTGCCTTAAACACTAGTATTCTCACCTCTTACGGTATGTCTACACTAGCTCAGACTCGGTAGTTCGAGCTAGGTAGGCAAATGAGGGCAACCGGAGTTGCAAATGAAGCCCGGGATTTAAATATCCTGGGCTTCATTTGCATCTTCCCGGGCGCCGCCATTTTTAAATCCCCCTTAGTCCGAACTCCGTGCCCGTGGCTACACGCAGTACGTGGTGTACCGGTAGTTCGAATTAGAGATCCTAATTCGAACTACCTACTCCGTGCCGCGTGTAGCCACGGACACGGAGTTCGGACTAAGGGGGATATAAAAATGGCGGCGCCCGGGAAGATGCAAATGAAGCCCAGGATATTTAAATCCCGGGCTTCATTTGCAACTCCGGTTGCCCTCATTTGCCTACCTAGCTCGAACTACCGAGCTAGTGTAGACATGCCCTTAGAGATAATGGCAACAGACTAAGCCCTGGCACTAGTGTAGGAATGGAGAGCAGGGGTACATCTCCTTTGGGGAGCTTGAGTTTTTTAAGATGCAGTGTGGAAAGCTGAACTCAGCCTCCACTACTACTGGAACAGCTGCACCACAGCAGGAAATGTAAAAGTATGCAGCATAGTCAAGGCCCAGGATTAAAAAAGTAACTGCTAAAATGTGAAGCAAGACTAACCCAAGCAGTAAAGTCTGCCTCAGTCTGCCTACGGCATTTTTCAGTGCAGACACCAGAGGCCACGAGAGGAGAAAGGAGAGAGAGTATCTGTGAAAAAGCTAATTGTGCTCCAGCATCTAATGTGGCAATGCTAAAGGAATTCACACTTATGCACCAGCTTTGCCAGCCATGTAATCATATTACATACAATGTCCTGCTTACTAGCATCACATGGCTGACACTAGTCAAATCATTCCATTTAGCTAATAGTAATAATTGCTCCTGGAGAGTGCTTTCATTGGTCGATCTCAAAGCACTTTACAAATGAGGCCAGTCTTCTTAGCCCCATTTTAGATGTGGGGAAACTGAGGCATGGGATGGGACATGGTTTGCCAGCAGTCTAGTGGCAAAGTAGGGAATTGAACCTGGTCTCCCAGTTCAGTACCCCATCCATTAAGCTGTACTCCTGCCTCATAACATACCGATAGAAGGTAGAGAAGACTACCTGGAAGATTCACAAACCATTGATTTTAAACTAAGAAATAAAATAAATCCTACTTACGTGGGCTGTAATTAGCTTCCTTTGCCTTTGTGGGTCTGGAAATTCCTCTCCAAAACACAGAGCAACCTGGAATCTAGGCAATGGACGTCCATGGTGGGCAAAAGCTTGCAGTTCTGAAGGCAGAAAAGATATGTTCAGAAAACCCTCACCATCAGTGGCTGAGTTCCAGACTAGTCATGAAGAACCTATGAAGATGCCCTAGCAAAGGGAATGTGAGGCTGGGAGAAAAGAGAGATCCCAGCAGAGAAAAGTGATCTTGAAGACTTCACCACAAACATAGGTAAGTATCAGCAAGAGACAAACAGCTGAAAACTTTGTACCCCCCAAGAGACTCAAATTATTCTATCTGCATTGCATTCTGAGTAATTTCCTATGAACTGCAATAGAGAGTTCCTCAGATTCCTGCTTAGGTTTGGCACAATAACAGAAGTTTCGGAAACATTCTTTAGGGCTTTTGATCTTTGCCAGGTTAAGTTCCCTTTACCCCTCTCCCACCCCCCACATTTCAGAAGGATCATGCTATGCAAGTCACAATGCATTGCTTCTGTCAAAGACAATGTTGCTGAGATGTTGTAGGAGGGCCTGTCACCCTTCTGAATAGAACCCAGAGCAGTTGAAGTAACAAAAGTGTTTAAACTTTGACTTCAAGCTACAGTGCTGGTACCACTTCTTGTGATGAGTGAACATTGAAACATAGGCTGTTCATTAGAAAGCGGATGGCCAATCCCCTTGCAAGGTTTTGAACCTGCTCCCACATAAAATAATAGCAACACTCCAATTGACTTCAGTGGGTTCAGAATCAGGCCCAAGCAGAGCCATGCTAGTATCTGTATGCTGCCCATTCTACCCAAGCCATGAGCCAACAAGCATGTCATTAGCTCAGAGCACATATTTTCTCGATGGATTTCCTTTCACTTCTACTACTGGAGCCAGGGTCCCAGAGATCTCGTGTTATCGCTCTCTAAGGGATACATCTACGCTGCAATCTGAGGAGTGACTGCAGCTCAGGAACGTAAGACATATATGCAATAGCAGGGCTAAAAATAGCAGTCTAAGATGGGGCCACATGGACTAGCATTACACACAGGTCTCCAGGTTCCCCAACATCCTTGTGTGGACCACACTGGACCTGATAGTGTGACATCAACATTATTAATTTTAGCCATCTTAGTACCGGGAAAGCCAATGTGGGTCTGACCACCGAAGCTGCAATCACACCTCATATTGCCATATACAGCTACCTTTCAAAAGGCTCCAATACAGCGACATCTGAGGCCTTTCAATGCCCCCCTCGTCCTTTTTTCCCCTCTCTGCTGCTGTCACGTCTTGGATCATGTCTGCTTCTCTATTGCAAACTCTACAGAGTAAGCTCTTTGGGCGATATCCTGGCCCCACTGAAGTCAATGGGAATCTTGCCGTTGTCTACAATTGGACCAGGATTCCATCCTTTAGGTTGGTCTATAAAGTACTCAGAATTTCTTTAGCCACAGAGTAACAACATCCAAAATGTTTGGCTTTAGTACCAAAGTCTCAAAACAGTGCAACATGCAAAGTGCAAATCTAGCTATAATCGTTCTCTGGTCCTAATAAATAACAACAATACCGCCTCATTCTTAAACAGCACTTTTATCCACAGAGTTCTAAGCTCTTTATAAAGGACAGCAGTACCATTCTCCTCATTTTACAGATGGGGATCCTGAGGCACAGAGAGGGGATGTAACTTGTCTAAAATCATTTAGCTGGGCAGTGGCAGATACCAGATTAGAACCCAGGTCTCTTGAATCCCACTCCAGTGCTCTAGTCATTAGGAAATACTGCCTCTCCAATACATACATATTTATATTATGTATATCAATAGCCACATTAGATGTTTACAAGAGGGTTCCATTTGGATTAAAATATATTGCCCAGTGGTGCTATAAAATTAGTGACATTTAATTGAATTAAAAAAGAAAACCACATATTTATTTCGACATCCACATCTTTTGCTTCTCAGAAGGTATGTTTATGCTTTTGACTTATAAAGAGCTAACAATGCTCGGTGGTGTGGTTTGTGTCTTTCAGGACACTTTTCAGAAGGAAATCAATAAACATAATTTTAAAAAATGAATACACTATGGACAGGGGATAACACCTCACAGATTGCGGTTAAGGTATGCAATGGGGATTTGGAAGATGTGTACTCAGTTCCCATAAGACCTTGGGCAAGTCATAAAATCTCTCCATGCCTGACTTCCCCCATCTGTAAAATGGGGAACAACAACTCTTCCTTTCACTTGTGATTTGCCTGTCTTCTCTCTTCTGACTGAAAACTCTTGGGGAGCCAGGATTGTTTCTAACTCTGTGTAACTGCAGTGCCCAGCACAATTGGGCCTAGTCTCATCTGAGAACACAAATGTATAATAATTCATGAGAAATTAACAATGACAACTAGGACACAGTTGACTTGCATAGGCAATGTTCTCTCTCTATTACCAATGAAACCCTAAAAACACTCACAACCTTATAGAAGCAGAGGAGGATTTTCAGTTCTTCAGTCTGATCAATCCATTCACTTATAAAAGAGGGCAAGGAGGTGTCTGAGATTAATGCAACTCCCAACTAATTAGTCCCAATGTTACTAGTGGGGAAATAACTCCATCCCTACCCCTCCTCTGTCACAGAATGTTATCAGCCTTGGTGATTCTCGAAGTATTGCAAAATATTGCAGTATTTCAGTAGTGGCACGACAGAATAAAATACAATGGTCTCAAGTTGCAGTGGGAGAGGTCTAGATTGGACATTAAGAAAAGCTATTTCACTAGGAGGGTGGTAAAGCACTGGGAGGTGGTGGGCTCACCATCTATTGAGGTTTTTAAGTCCCAGCTTGATAAAGCCTTAGATAGGATGATTTAGCTGGGCTACGTCCTACTTTGGTCAGGGGGTTGGACTAGAGGATCTCCTGAGTTCTATTCCAACACTAATCTTCTATGATTCTATGATAATAGCCTGTGGAAGGGATGGAACAGAGAAGGGAGTTGGAACATGGAAGCTTTTAATAGTAAGAAATTCCTTTCAATATGAAAGAGAATCAGAGAATCCCTGATCTTTCAAATGCATGAAAGCGGGTACCTGAAGTCCTCTACTGCTCTGAGCATGTCACTTGGTTCATCAAACAGCTCCACTGGCTCTCTCTCATCTCCTGGATTAAATTCAGACTTCTGCCGCCAGATTTTCCACATACCACCCCAAATCAGCTCTCATTTCCTTCTATTCCAGCTCCAATTGCCTGTGTGCCACTCATGCTAGCCTCTTTAACAAACCTTCAGATCCTTCCCCTATTCCAGACTTTAAGCCTTCTCCTAATTCCCACCCCCTCCTAGTTTTCTAAATTCATCACTCAGATCTCTCTATAAATAATCCAAGTGTTAGAATCTGATCACCCTGTAATGTGTCAGAATCATATAATTTGCAATCCTGAAGAGAGTCCTATATGGACACACTCCTGCATAAATATGCAGTTGTACTGATTAAAGACCACAGCTCTGACTCTTCAACTTCCTTCTGTGAATCTCTAGGACATGCATCTACTAGTAGAAATCTGCAGTGTTTCCTTCCACTAAAGGTCTAACCTTCTGACTGTCTGCACCCCGATGCCCTTAGTTTGGAGCTCAGTAAGCAAAATTTATATTTAGCTATGGTTTAATGCATGGCAAAATAGCCACTTAAGAAGTTACCTGGCTATCTGCATGCACAGATATGATAACTTTTAGGAGCAGGTTGGATAGACATCTATCAGGGATGATCTCTAGACAGTGCTTGGTTGAGGGCAGGGGACTGAACTTGATGATCTCTCAAGGTCCCTTCCAGTTCTAAGATTCTTTGATTCTAACCGCACATAAATTAGGCATGCAACTGTGCACATGTATATGCAAATGCATAGCTTAGAAAAGTTAAATTAACCTTTAGGAATAAACTTCTAAAAAGCTACTTCCACGTGTCCTGTGAATGATTTGGAAGAGCCAGATTAAATTTAAAGTGACATCTGAGAAAGGAAAAGGGGCTCCCCAGCACATGATTGCAGGCATAATGATACATCTTATAATTAGCATACAACAGAAGTTGTAACCCTATAAATTCAGCTCAAATTCCCCTTTTTAACTGTCAATTTTCATATCCTCTTCAGATGTGAATTTAAATGCATATGCTGCTTGATAATTCTGCTAGGATGACACATCAAAGCCTGGAAAATGAAGTATTTTAGAAGTGATGGTTCATTTTGGGCATTTTTTAAAGTGTTGCATTATTTTTCTGTGAAACAGTAACTTGCACCAATGTATATGCCTGAAATACAGCAAGGTGTGCTGTACAGAGGGAAGAGCAGGCCACTCTAAAACTTAAGAGATTAACTGTAGCTCTGCCACAAGCCGGAACTAAAGGGCTGCCCTGGTTCTCCTCTTACTCCAAGGGAGGGGAAGTCATCTGTGGGATCCCTTTCCCTGGAGCAGATTGCTCACCTCTCTGGTGCAAGCTGAGAGTGCTGGCCAGTGTCTTGGAAACTGGGGTCAACACTCCACCCACTCCTCTCTCAGAGGAGGAGTATCCATGTGAGGCTGTTTCCCCCTCCATTCTGCTATCCAAAGACAAATAACTGGAAGAAGGGATTTTGAGTAGGCGCCTTAAGATATTTAATTCACTTTTGCAGGTGAATTGGAATAATACTTTCTGATGTTTAAATAATCAGAGTCATATTTCAGACTCACAGTAGGGTAAGTCTGGAGTAAATCAGCAGCAGAGTATGAAATTACTGAAGATTTACAACAGAGGATCCAAAATCAGAATATGGTCCCATCTGCTATTCAGTCTTAAGAAAGACTATTTTGTTGGGCTCCTTCCAGCCAGTATTAAATAATACAGGCCTTTTCTTGTCTTCAAGTGAGCATAAGTGCTTCCTACCACTTTCAATGGGTGCCACAAACGTGTATCAAATGCAGAACTAACCATGATAATATACAAATGAAAAACTATTCCCAGGCTGTGCTTGCCTAACACTTATATATAGGGCCGTAATCAGAGAATAGCTGAGTACCTGCATCTTCCAACCCCTTTTGTGGAAGACAGTAATTTAGTGCAAAGAGCTATTTAATCATGCCCCTTTGGAATCACAAGATAGTGATTTGGTGACATTTATATAGATACATGTAACCTAAATTGAGAATTACCTGCTAAAAACTGCTGAGTATCAAAAAGTTTGCACGTCTGCTCCCTTTCCAGTTTATTTGGCCTGTCACTGCATAATGCCAGAGGTCCATCCCAGTAGATCCTGCTTTGACAAAGTCTCTTAGCATAAAGCCCATCAGGTGCCATCCAGAGTATTACTCCTCGTTCCAAATGGCTCAGTAGTTTTTCTATGTTTTTCCTCTGGCCGTTATCTTCAGGATAAGGGAAGATAACTTGATCCAAGCTGCTGACTTCATAACTTTGGGCATGAGATATTCTACAGCCTTCAGGACTTGAAGTCGTTGTCTCTTTCACCAGTATTTCACGGTAATATAGACAGATGTGCAGTCGACAGTCTGTAAGTATATTTAGAAAAAAATACTCTTCACTACTGTGAGTATTTTATATCACATCGCATACATTAAGGCCAATGGGCTAGATCTTGCCAGGTACTATACACCTGTGATTTCTAATATTCAGCATCTCTCAGAATTTAGCCCTGTACTGTATTAGGGAAAAATATAGATTGAACTGAAATAATGAAATATGTTGGCGAAGGAAGCACAAACTCTAACATCAGTTTCTACCAATAGAGGCCATTGGAATGAGAACCGATTAGCTCATGATGAAGACAATATTCTAGCAGAAAATATGCTAGAAATCAATGCCTGGCAAGCTGCATATTTTCATTAATTAGGAAAAAATATTCATACTTCCCGGCTACGTCTACATTGGCCCCTTTTCCGGAAGGGGCATGCTAATTTTTCAGATTGTAATAGGGAAATCCGCGGGGGATTTAAATATCCCCCGCGGCATTTAAATAAAAATGTCAGCCGCTTTTTTCCGGCTTTTAGAAAAGCTGGAAAAGAGCGACTACACTGGCCCCGATCCGGCCCGATCCTCCGGAAAAAAGCCCTTTTCCGGAGGATCTCTTATTCCTCCTATTCAAAGTAGGAATAAGAGATCCTCCGGAAAAGGGCTTTTTTCCGGAGGATCGGCCGGATCTGGGCCAGTGTAGACGCTCTTTTCCAGCTTTTCTAAAAGCCGGAAAAAAGCGGCGGACATTTTTATTTAAATGTCGCGGGGGATATTTAAATCCCCCGCGGATTTCCCTATTACGATCTGAAAAATTAGCATGCCCCTTCCGGAAAAGAGGTCAATGTAGACGAGCCCCACAAGTTGACACTGGAATTAATATTCAGTCTCAGTATGTTCTCTTAGGATATGTCTACACAGAAAAGTTATTTCGAAATAACAGCCATTATTTCGAAATAACTTTCCTAGCATCTATACAAGCCAACTGCTATTTTGAAATTAATTCAAAATAGTGGAGGGCTTATTTCGAAATTGGTAAATCTCATTCCACAAGGAATAGCGCCAATTTCAAAATTGCTATTTCAAAATAACTATTTTGAAATTAGGTATTTCAAAACAGCACTGTAGTATAGACATAACCTTAGATGCATCAGAAAATGGCTATGATTCTCTCAAAATGTTGTACATGACCATGTCAAGCGACTATCCACAAGACTTGCAAAATGCAATCAGTTGCCTTGTAAAATGGTCTTTGAATGAAATGCAAACAAAAGTATACATGAAATCTTAGGCATGAATGTAAAGTGGTCACTCAACACAAGAGAGTGACTAGGCCATCACCACTGTACCAGGCAGCTACATTTTATTAAGGATTAATAAATGCTGCATATCCTGATGTAGTCAACAGAAAAAAAGAAAAGTATCAATAGGACAAAATCTTGAACAAAAAAATAACAAAAAATCATCTACCTCTGAATCTAAAAGCAATATGGCTGTGTGGTAAGAATCTGCTTCCCTTGTCCTATCTCACAGAGCAGCAGCCAAGAATTTACTAAAGCCTTGAAAGAGCAAAGTACTTAAGCATGTGTAACTTTAAGCACATGAATGGTCCCATTGATCTCAATGTGAATTACACATCTCAATCAGGACTACTTAAGTACTTCAAGTTCTGCATGTGTTTAAAAATGTTGGGAAGTGTGTACGCACAGAAGTCACTTGGTAGGGAAATGTTACTTTCACTCACAATGAAGCCACTACAACAATGAGTAAACATTTACTTGGAAAGTTACAAGGAGAGCCCCCTAGAACATTCACCATGAAAGCCCAGTGTTACAGACTTACCTGATAGTGCAAGAGCTTCACCAGACCTTATGCTTGGCTCTATTGGGATCCCAGGAGTCTGTGACTCAGATGGTGCACAAGCATAAAAGGTTCCAGTCACCTGACAACCTGTTTTCACAAACAAAAGTCAAATAATATCTAGCTACCTAAAACCCAAAAGCAAAGTTAGAGTTCACAGCCATGCACGTGGGAATTTCGAGTTCCGTCTCTATAATTTTTTTTCCCTTGACCAAAACATTTTATCCATTCAAGATGTTATCTAGAATCTTTTCTTTACATTTTTTAACTAACCATATCAGTGCATATTTTTATAAACATAATCTGCATTTTAACCATAGAATGATGTTCTTGGAGGCTGATGAAAAATAATCCATTCAGTCTCACAGATCTTAAAGAGTTTTATCAAAGACAGTCAAAATATTCAAAGTAGTTATGTCTCCAATTGGGTAACAGAAAGAAGGTAATTGTGGGTAAAAGAGAGATACTCCTGCATTAGAGCATTAGAGCTTTCATACCACAGTCAACATTAGTCCTTTCACAAGCTATCCCTTCTTGTGAGTGAGATAAAATTGAGGCAAACTGAAATGTGATGACACTTGATCCAAAGTCTCTTGAAGTCAACAGGTATCTTTGGGTTGACTTTAAAGGGCTTCAGATCAAGGCTGGGTTAAGCACTATACTTATGATGCAGGGAAGATAAACAGATTTGTCTCTTCTCAAAGCTAGTTTGCTTTTTAGCCTATGCCAATGGCATACTTGAGTGACTGTTGACAAACAAGGGAGATGTTCTTACCATTTTCACAACCAGGACCTTGCCAATGGTGACTGCGAGCTGCAAAAGGAACACTTGGGCACTGGTAAGGGATGTCAGGGTGTGGCTGTTCTGGGGCAAAATCTCTCCAGTTACGTTCATGAGGTACCATGTAGTTTGACACCTGTTGAGTTTAATGAGACATTATTTTATTTGGCTGTAATCGGAACTGATGCTGTCACTCTCATAATCTCCCATATTAATAAAAGTTTCCTTAGCATTTGCGCATGAGACCTTTTGTTATTTTTTCTCCCATAACTCTTGAGGATCAAAGTGGATGATATTTTGCCATCAGAAGGAGGCTTTCAAAAAAGGTGTGTGTCACCACTGCTGTAAACTATAAACATGACAAAAATTACAACAGCCAATGGAGCACTGTGGCAAAATGTTATAGAATATCAATGTGTCATATGTTCAATTTCTAGCACCAAAAGTACTAAGGTAATATACATCCATTTTACAAAACAAAAAACAAAAAAAAACACACCACTAACAAAACAGAGCTGTAATTCACATTTTAAAAAATCACAGATGGATCAGCTGCTCTGTGGTTTCACATGATGAAAACATTGCTTCCAGATCTCTCAGTTTCTTATAAAAAAAGTATTTTTCCATGCAGAACTAAATGGTGGTAGATCAGCATAGAAAGGCTTGTAGTATAAAATGGTATAATCTTGCAAAAATGAGCTCAATCGGCACCTCACAAACAAGCTAAAAGATAATACATGGCTGATGCTGTACCTGAGCCTGTAGTGAAGTATAAGGAGAAGTCATTGTGTAGGGATGGTTCATCATTATCTGTTGATCCTCTAGGCTGAGTTGCTTTGCCCCTAAGTATATGATAAGGATAAAAACAAAGTTATTAACTGTATCTTAAATGAACCTGAACTTGAAAATGATCTGCTGCAGAGAAACCTGTGCAAGAGACGGTCCTTAATAAGCAATTTCCTCGTTTAAGAGGCCATTCTACACCATCCCCAAACAAGGGGCTTGCATGTGCTTCATTGACGCAGGCCTACGCAGCATATTTCATTTATGTGCCCGTTCAGCTTTTATGGCCAGTGTATAGGAAGGTTGAGTGGTGGCCTTGCTTGCTTTGTGCCCTTTTTGGGTTGTCTTGCAAGTCTGAGAAAGAAGGGGCACAGGGCCAGGACTGTGAGGGTACATCTACACAACAGGGCTAAAGTCGAATTAAGATACGCGACTTCAGTTATGTCAATTGCGTAGCTTAAGTCGAAATAACTTAATTCGGCTTTTGGTGCTGAAAGAACACTTCCTTCAACTTCCCTTACTCCTTGTAAAATGAGGGTTATAGGAGTCAGAGTAAGAAGTCCTCCAGCTCGACATTATTTTGAAATAAAGGCTTGTAGTGTAGACAAACACTATGTTATTTAGGAATAACATCAGTTATCCTGAAATAATGCTGCTGTATAGACGTACCCTGACTGTACTTGATTGCTATGCAGAGACAAAGAAGGTAAGGGAGATTAATGCACTCCTCTAAACTTCTTCACTCCTGGAGGAGTAAAGTACAATCTGTCTCATAAGGAATTCAGATCTGCTCCCCCTTTATTTGAAGTCCACTTCCATTAAGCAAACTTACTTTTGCCTGTCTCTTGAGTGGTTACTTAAAACAGGTATCACTGTATTTAAAATTGATATAAAGGATGTACACCCAAGATTAAACCCTCCAATAATTTACTTACTGCCTATATCTCCAGCAAAGGGATATTTTTTCAAATGCTACCATTCAGGTTCCTGCAATTCTTTTTCAGCAAAACTTCCAATGTAAATCAAAGGGAAGTTTATCCAAATAAGCTGTACGTGGGTATTCCACATCTTGTTATCGTACAGATTGCTACAAAGTCTTACATGAGTGATTGAATGGTTATACATGACCCGAATGACAGCACATTGGTCATCTCTTTGGTTTTTGCACATTGGAAAATGAGACTATAAATGTACTGTATATAAAAATCTAAGCTGGCCTACCTTTTTTAGCTCCTTCTGGCACTATTCGGTATACTTTATATGGATCAGAAATATCCAGCTGGCTTCTCTCAACCAGTTCTTCAAAGTCATTGCTCTTATTCAAAGCACACCGGAGCCTTGTCTTCCAAGTTGGGGGATCTGGTTTATCAATGCCCTCTCTGAACTTTCCTTTAAACAGAGCCCAAGCCTGAAAACATGTCACATAATAAAAAAAAAAAAAAATCACAATCACAATTGATAGATAATCACAAAAACTGAAATTGCATTTGAGTGTGTGTCAGAGAATTTATTCCTTATGGGTTTATACTAAAGTATGTGTGAGGTGGTCCCTTGGTAAAGAAATAAAAAACAGCCAGAAGAAAGAAGAAAAATGACAAGGAGGATGCAGAAATAAATGTTTTCTAACAAATGTTTAGCATTATAATTGGAGAAGGAAAGAGGGGAAGTGTTCCATGTGGAACCTGGGAACTCTGTAGTTAAAAACAAAAACCGAACCCGAGCTCGCTTGCTGTGGAAAGCAATTAACTACATTCATTCTGGGAGAAACTACACAGAGTTGCTGGGGGCAGCAAGCAACGCGTTTGAAAAAGAAAGACATGGTAGCGCGCCCTCAAACCAACTTCCGCTGAAGTCAAGGGCAAAACTCCCCTTGGGCTGGGGCTGCGGTGGGTCCTGGCTGAAAAGAGCTCGGAGAGGGAGAACAGACCCCCTACCCGCCAGGGGCGCAGCTCGGGCTGTTGTTCTGCGCCGCGTCCTGACTGGGGCTTACGATTGTTTGACCCTGGCTGGAGCTGGCGGCTGCCGCTGCTCGCCCAGCCCATAGAAACTACCGAGGGGGGAAGGATCGCGAGGGAGGGGGACGAGAGGAGAGAGAAGGGGTGGGTGTGTGTCTCTGCAGGATTGCGAGTGGCCCTTGGCCGCCCTACCTTGAAGAGGGCGGCATCCTCCTCGCGGTTGTAGTCCTGCTTGCCGGCGTGCTTCCAGGGGATGCGGAAGATGCTCTTCTCCTCGTTCTCCCACACCAGGCCCGGGTACTTGCCGCTGTCGATCTGGTCAATCAGCCACTGGCGGAGCTTCCCGTTGCCGCAGCTCACCGAGCTCATCCCGCACTCGCTGCCCTCCAGGTTCATGCCCCCGCGCCCGCCGCTCGCTGCACACGCCCGGGCTCCAACTTGCGGAGAGGAAAGGGAGGAGAGAGACGCCCCCTGTCAGTCGCTTGGACAAACCCCGCGCCGGAGCTGGCAGGGCCGCCACCCCGCAGAGACCCCCCCCCGGCCCGAGCGGCTTCGCTTTGGGACGGGGCGGGGGCCCGG